CCCAGCATTGGGATTACACAGGAGGATCACTATGGGTCTGAGCTGTATCAGTGAAACCCTCTACCAAATAAATAAATAGAAAGTAAATGATTAAAAAAATTAAAGTATGCCTCTTATGACCATTTGGCCTCATTCCACAGATATACACTTATAATTACCTCTAAGGTTACCCTTATAATTACCTAATTACCTTACAGAAACACCCTTATAATTTTCTTGACTGCAACAAACCACATTCTTCACCTTCCCTATTCTCTATCTTCTAAATATTTTCCTCAGTATTGATTAGGATTGACTGTAAAATACTATAGCAAAAGAAGCCAACATGTAATAATTCAATTTCTTTTTGATAGCAAGAGAAATAGCATTACGTTCTTCCAGGTATTGCTTTCCACCTTTACTGTGTATGTTCGTGTTTGGGGTACTAGGGAATGAAACCCAGGGTACTCTACTACTGAGCTACAGCCTTTTTAAATTTTTACTTTGAAACAGACTCTAAGTTGCTGAGGCTGGCCTTGAACTTGCAATCCTCCTCCCTCAGTCTCCTGAGTAGTCCTGTTACTGGTGAGCACCACCAACCTCAGCTCCATCTCTAGGTTTAGTGCACATGGTGGTCTCCCTCTCTAGGGTGCACAGGCCCCCCCAAGCAGGGATTCAAATTTCTTCATCTCTTCACTCCCTATGCTTCAAGACTGACACCCTGGGAAGCACCTTACCTGTGGTAAGAGTGCATCAATTCACTGCTTAACCTCCAAATAAGGGCCAGGGAGATGGCTCAGTAGAATAAGTGCTTGCCTGGCAAGCGCAAGGGCCTGAGTTCAATCCCCGGTTCTAACAAAACAAAACAAAACAAAAAAACTTCGTAATAGCCCAATGTCATTCCTATTTTTTTTTTTTTAAAGCCCTACAAGGAGGCTGGGGCTGTAGCTCAGTGGCCATTTGGTTCAGTCCTCGGTACTATACAAATAAGTAAGAGGCCCTCCAGAGGCCTACTTGGTCCTACACCATCTGACATCCTGTTACCCTCTCCCCTTGCTCTATTCTGTTTACTATGTGGGCTTCCTTCAAGACGTCAGGAGAGATTCCACCTCAGTCTTTGTGTTTGCCGTCCTCTTTGTTGGAACATTGCCCAGAAATCTGTGCACCTGTTGCTGCAAAGGCCATCTTCTCCGGTGGCCTTCCCTGGCCACATCGTTCACACTGTGACCCTTCAAATGCTCTCTCCAACAGCACTGAAGATTGAACCCAGGACCTTTCCACTGAGCTTCATTCCCAGCTCCTTATATTTTTTAATTTGAGATAGGATTTCTTTTTTTTTTTTTTTTTGAGATAGGATTTCATTAAGTCTTTAAATTGCCCAGGCTGGGCTTGAACTTTGTGTCTTCCTGCCTCAGCCTGCCAGTGTTGGCATCCCTGGTATGCACCACTACCCCCAGCTTGCAATACTGTTTTCTGCTCTGCTTATTTCTTTCTCCATAGTATGTATTCCCCTCTGTATTAGTATGTACAGTATTTTCTTCATTCATTCTGTTTTTCTCTCTGCTCCCTTTACTAGAATGAAAGCCTCATTTGCTTTCTTTTCTGTATCCCCAGAGTTTAGCATAATGCCTGGCATATATGAGGCATTTAGTAAATAGATGTTGAAAGAAAGAAAGAATAAGGGAACTAATGGAAGGTGCTCGGTAACTATTTGTTAAAACAAATTGTCAGAAACAGATGACTGAAAATTTCAAACACTAAAAATGTTAGTTCAGAGGTGATGCAATTGAAGAATGATGCAATACAGTCTCAAAAAGGGATTAAAATGGTGTGTTTGAGGTGGGAGGGGCAGCTGCGGGAAGCTGCGTGTCTGAGTCCTAAGGAACCTTGCCGCTTGCATGCTTTCAGAGAGAGGGAGGGGGCATCTGGTAGACCGGCTGACACAGCTGTTCCCAACAGCCCCCGCCCCCGTCCGGACCCTTGTGTGCCACACAGGTGTTTTCTTTTAAGTTGTTTTGGTCTTTGCCTCTCTCCTAGGCTTGAGAAAGACACAGGAACTTGGGGTGGCCTATGCGACACTTCTCAGCTGCATGTGAAATCACCAGGAGTGAAAATGACAACAAAAACGTCACCCAGCAGTAAGGGTTGGGGGAAGCAGCACACAGTTTTAAACGGTGCAGGGTGAAACACTTCCCTCGAGGCTCCGCCTTTCCACTGTTTGTGTGAATTTTTTCTCCCTGGCTTGCGCTTTCACAGCTGCCTAACCTCTTGCATGAGGATGACACTCTGATCTCGGTGCTCCTTCCTTCAGGGACTCCAGAGTAGTTTTTTTCCACACTCCATCGCTACTATAGCAGAGCCTGCTCTTCATTATTTGCTTTACAGATCTCCTGGTTCTAAGACCATAAACAAAACACTTTAGATCACAGCGAGGTGGGTGTAAGCACAGCCTTTTGCTGCCAGCCAGACTTCTTAAGGTGGCGACACCGTGACTGGTTTGCTTTTAAGATTAACAAAGCAACGAAACAGTGTTCCCGTATATTAGTTCAGAGCTTCGGCTTGTTTGTGAGAGAGAAGTGTTACTTTTTTTCCTTTCATATGGATAATGCTACCATGAGTACAATCACACTTCTGTGGCAAGGTGAAATACTCTAGAACTCCATTTACATATCTGGGGTAGTTTGTGTAAAGAAGTGTATGTATGTATACTACCAAAATAAAATTCCTATGCTGTCTAGCAATTGTTGTAAACTTGAAACATTAGCTAATTTTAGGGGTGGGAGTTTATATTATATTATAGTAATAAGACCCACCTTATTTCCCTGTTCCCTCATCCTCAAACCCAGGTCCAATAAATTAGGGAGGGGGAGGGGAATGGACACCAAAGGAAAACAAACAAACAAACAAACAAAAAACTAGCTGCAGAGGTGTGGAGTTGTAGTCCCAGCTGCTTGGAAGGCTGAAGTAGAGCCCAGAAATTTAAGGCTGGTCTGGGCAATTTAGTGAGCCCTGCATCTTGAAAAGGAGAGGAAAAAGAAAAGAACAATGTAGGTGAACTTCCCGTTCTGGCCTCAAGTGAACTCTTTTCTGCCTGTGAAAGTCCTGCAGCGAACCCAGCTCTGGGCACCTGCCTTCTTTGCTGCCCTCTGGGTACCACCCTGTATTTTCAAAATCTGTGTTTCAGTTGGGCTAGTGGTTGGCGATACCAAAGCCCAGGGAGAGCTGGCAGCATTTAAATGGCAGTGACCACCGAGGTGACAACAAAGGAAACATCTGCAGGGTTAAACCCTAGGGTCCCAAAGGGCCCTCCCAGCTGTAACATTCTGACTGTAGGAGATGAGGCAAGCACACAAAATGTGCATGATGTGAATAAGAAAACAAAACTCACCCTCATCTACAGCACAGGTGCATGAGAAAGCATTGCTGGTGGGTATCACTGAGACGGAAGGCTGAGGCAGGAATGTAAACTGGAGCAGCCCAGCCTGGGAAATCTAGTGATTTAGCAAGAGCCTATCTGGGGAAATTAAAAAAGAAAAGAAAAAAGCTGCGGATGTAGCTCAGTGTGAAGGCCCTGGGTTCAATCTCTAGCACCGCAAATCAAATGGAAGACCAACCAAACAAAACACCGAGGAGGTTAGTTTCCTATAAAATCTATTAATTTGGGCCACAACCCAAGATGATTGGTTTGCATGGGGAATATGAGTGGAGAGACAGTCTATGCCAGTCCTGCTCATTCTGTTTTTAACTTCCATTTACAGCACCCAAGCCCACATCTACAGATAAAGTTGTCAAGACATCAGCGGACTGTCCAAATAATAATACTAGATGTTAGGACACAGTGATGGTGGTTTTAGTGCAAATCTCATAAACTGGACTTTGGTCCATAGGGAAATATTTTCGCCCTTTCCCAGTTCACAGCCGCAGCCCTCTGCAAGCATTCAGTTGCATCTGAATATTGTGCTGAGTGGGTTGGAGCAGCAAGCCTAGCGGGAGAGAAAAGGGGAGGAAGGAAGGAGCTGTTGTATTTGGCGGCTGGATTCAGGTAGAGGAACCGGCGACAGCCCAGGAAAGAATTGAAAAGTATAAAGAGACGAGTTCTCACACGCAGCCAATGTCAATGGCCTTAACTGCTGGGGAAGCAAGAACCTGAGCCAGGGGTGTAACCTTGCTTTTCTTTTTCTTTTTCTTCCCCCCCCCCCCGAAACTAAATGCGTCTGAGACGGCTGGCTACAAAGTTTATTAAGGGACTGGAGAAGCCAGTGGAGTTTTTGATCTTGAGATTCTTATTTTCATTGAGGGAGAGCTTGGGGTTCTGAACATATAACTGTCACTGTAGACTCCCTGCTAATTTATAGAAAGACGTTTGCCTTGGCTTCTTCCCGAACCCTCTGGCCTCCCTCTGAAATAGCAGAGGTTCGCGAGCGAAGGCAAACTAGCCCCTGCCCACCCCCAGCTACGGCGCCTAGGCAGGGGCCTCCCGGGGCTCAGCCCAGAGTGAGGGCCACCGCGAAGCGCCGAGCTGGGGGGCGCAACTCCTACTGTCAGCCTGCACCCAGCAGCCGTCCGCATCCCGGGATCGCTAGTGCGTGCAAAACGAGCTGGCCACGGAGTCTCAGGGCCAGCGACCTTGGAGAGCCTCGGGGCCAGGCCCTGGATTTCGCGGTGAGGAGCGGCCGCGTGCCAGGCAGCGTGGACTCCCCTCCCCGGGCCTCTCCAGGCCCCTCCTCGGCTTCCCGGCCGTTTGGCTAGTTTGCCTTATTTTTAATTTCTCCGAGGCCAGCCGGAGCAGGTTTGCTGGCAGCCGCGCACCTCCGGCAGTCACGCGACCAGCCGCTCTCCGGGCAGCGCTGGGCGGCGGGCGCGCGCACCGGGCCACCTTAAGAGCGCGCTCGCCAGCCTCGCGGGGCGGCTCCCGGCGCCGCGACCAATGGATCTGCGGCTCTGTTTAAATAGACTCGCCGCGTCAATCATTTTCTTCTTCGTCAGCCTCCCTTCCACCGCCATATTGGGCAACTAAAAAAAAAAAAAGAGAGAGAGAGTGAGCGAGCGAGCAAGAGGGGGGACTCGTCTTTTCGGGGTGTTTTTCTTCCTCCCCTGCTCCTCTCCACACTTTCTCACGGCGCCGCGGCTCGGACGGCTGCGAGGTTTGGAGAGCGGCTGGGTTCGCGGGCCCGCGGGGTGCAGCCGCCCGGACTTGGCCGGGCTCCGCCGCCTCCTCCTTCCTCCTCCCCTCGCTTCCCCGCCCTCCGCTCCGCCGTACACTTGATCCGCGGCGACTCTCGCTGCCTGGCCGGGGCGCCCCGCACTCCGGCCCGGACCCCGCGCGCTCCTGCAGCTCGGGCGCGGACGGACGCGGCGGGGTTTGTTTTTCTCGGCCCGGAGAGCAGTCGCGGAGCGTAGAAGAGGGCATCGGGCTACACCGGGCGATTTCGTGGTTTTTTTTGTTTTTGTTTTGAGAGCGTGAGTGAGGCGATCGTCCAGATCCGAGCGGGAGGACGATGTCAAACGTGCGAGTGTCGAACGGGAGCCCCAGCTTGGAGCGGATGGACGCCCGGCAGGCGGAGCACCCCAAGCCCTCTGCCTGCAGAAACCTCTTCGGCCCGGTGAATCACGAAGAGTTAACCCGGGACTTGGAGAAGCACTGCAGAGACATGGAAGAGGCGAGCCAGCGCAAGTGGAATTTCGATTTTCAGAATCACAAGCCCCTGGAGGGCAAATACGAGTGGCAGGAGGTGGAAAAGGGCAGTTTGCCTGAGTTCTACTACAGACCCCCGCGGCCCCCCAAAGGCGCAGGCAAGGTGCCGCCGCTGGAGAGCCAGGATGTCAGCGGGAACCGCCAGGCGGTGCCTTTAATTGGGTCTCAGGCAAACTCAGAGGACACGCACTTGGTAGACCCAAAGCCTGACCCGTCAGACAGCCAGACGGGGTTAGCGGAGCAGTGCGCAGGCATCAGGAAGCGACCTGCCGCAGACGGTAATGACCCTTTCAAAACCATAAAATGTCTGTCTGTCGCGCCGCTTTTGCCTGCTTGGACGTATTAACCTCAGCATGCTTTTTCAGCGTCTTCTGATATAGCTCTTGGGGGTCGAACTTTGTTAATCTTAGGGTTTAAATGCTCCCTGGCTGTCTGTTTACAATTTTGAAGTCAGAAGCCGGAGATGGTTAAGATCTGATAGTTTCCCCAACCAAGCACATCGCAGCTCCTCCCTACTAGACAGCTGTAGGTATGTGACAACGTTAGGATGTTTATCAACTGCGTTGGGGGGGGGGGGGAGAAAGAGAAAGAGAAAGAAAGAGAGAGGGAGGGGAAGAGAGATAGATGTGGGGTGTAGAATACGCTTTCTGTTGTGTGGAAACAACCTCATTTTGTTCCCTTAAAGGCCACCGGGAATGATGGATCTAGGTTGTGGGTGGTGGTGGTGGGCTTTTCATGCGCTGACTGTTGGGCCAACTTCTGTCAAGCCATTGTTTTTCTAATAAAGATTGTTTGTGTGTGTTCTTTTTAAATTTCCCCTTGCCCTCAGATTCTTCTCCTCAAAACAAAAGAGCGAACAGAACAGAAGAAAATGTTTCAGACGGTTCCCCCAACGCAGCTTCTGTGGAGCAGACGCCCAAGAAGCCAGGCCTCCGAAGACGTCAAACGTAAACAGCTCCGGTGGGTTGATCGCTGAGAGCCTGAAACTGACACCCAAGCGCCCTGTGGGCCTTAAAACCCCCGGGGTACTGGGCCTTACTGGTTCCTGGCACATTAGTACCTTGCAGGGGTTTTGCTCTGTTTTGTTTTTCGAAGCCACAAAAGTAGCAATGGGAAAGGCTGGGAATTACTGTCAGGATACAGTAATTCTTAAAAGTGTCTAAGGCTAGGGTGATTTTTCTTGAAATACTATACAGCCAGAGCAAGTTTCCTAGGCAAGTACTTGTAACCAGGACTTCAGTGGTAGGAATGTTGAGTCCCTGTGAGTCCCATTAAAACATGTTGGAAACGAAAGATTTTTTAAAAAACCCAAAAAACAATAGATTCTTTCCCCATCTGGACAAGTACCCCACTTCATGAGAATTCATTTCCTAGGAATTTAATTGAGTCAGTAACAAATCTTGAGCCATATATGGAAAAATGGTAAATACATGATTATACTTAAGTTTGGAGAAAAATACTAGGTACAAGTAGCTAAGATTTGGTAGGGGGTTAAGAATGTGAACAAGGTGTTGTACTGTATTCTTTTATCTTTATGGTTTTCTGGTAAGTTTGGAGAGAAAAGAAAACTTGAGATACTAAAAAAATAAATAAATAAAAAAGAGAACGCTCAAAAATAGCTAAAAGGCCCTGAAAAATTTCTGATAGCACTGAAGTAGCAAAGCAGAAGTTAAATTGGCTGCCAGAGTAAGCAATCCAGGAACACGTCAGCCTGTGTATGCTAATTGTGCTATATAACAGGATGATTTGGCTATTTTAGGGGAAATGAATAGGTGAAGGGTCGACCTATAGCACAGTGAAGATTTTTCTAGGTTTGAAAATGCGGTCACCTCAAGTAGCTAATTTAAATAATCCAGCCCCTAAATTTACATAGATTGGCTATCTAATGATCAAACTAAATATATGAACGAATACATTTCTTATAGAAAGGATTGTGGCTTCTTTTCTCAAAGCACAGTGAGAGCCTAGCATATAAAGAAAGCTTAATAAATGTCATCGTTAACTTTTAAATAATCATTTATAAAAATTAAAAAGTAAATGAAAGTTCATAGGGATTAAGGTAGGATTCAGTTTTGTTATATTTTTAAATCATAATGTCATAATATGAGTTGTCTACATGCATCTTGGATTTTTCAGAGCTAATGCAGAATGCTACTATAGAACTTGTATATTACCCCCTGTATGTGATGTGAGGAAATGAATAATTTTCTTGAATAACCTTAACACCTGCAACTCACTGATTTTTGTCACTTGTGGCCTACCTAATCAGATAAGCTGCATCAGTCATACCTATTGGATTTTGATCAGGCCCCATTCAGACACACAACCAGGCATTTGTTAGTGCTATCACCAGTTCAAAGATTACACAGTAAGGTACCTACTCAAAAGTACTTGTATGTGTTAGTTGCAAATAAATAATACATTAGGATATTTGGGAGGGACCCTAGGTATTAGTAGAATTTTCCTCCAGAGGCCTTTACAAGTTACATTTCTAAGTATTTAGAAAATTATGCTACTCTTAGGCTTAACAGTTTCTGAATTTCTACATTTTTTTTCTTTCTCACTGTCTTTGACCCACATTCTTTAGAGTTTTCAACCTCTGCAATATTGCCATTTGGGGCTGAATAATTCTTTGCTGTGGGAGGCTGTCCTGTGTGTTTTAGAATGTTTGGCATTATCCCTGGCCTCTCCCACCAGATGCCAGTAGCAATCCTCCCCTGGTTGTGACAACTGAAAATTTCTATGGACATTGCCAAATGTCCCCTGGGATGGGGGTGGGGAGGTGGACAATCTCACCCATTTGTTAAGAACCGCTGTTCTAACCTAACAGAGGAGAGCAAAAGCCCGGTTAAGACAGTATTACATGTTGGTGACTAGTCATCAAAATTTTAATACAACATTCAGGTATTTCTAGTTAAAGATAGTAGCAAAATAATTCTTATACTTTATTAGTAATATTGCTCTAATGATTTCTAATTTTCCTTGTGTTTCTTTTGCAGAGTTAAGAATGTTTCCTTGTTTATCAGATACATGGCCGCTTGAAGAAGCAAGGAAGATATACATTAAAACATTTAAATACATATCGCCGACTCCATGGAATGGACATCTTGTATAAGCACTGAAAGCAACAACACAATAACACTAAAATTTTAGGCACTCTTAAATGACCTGCCTCTAAAAGCATTGGATGTAGCATTGTGCAATTAGGTTTTTCCTTATTTGCTTCATTGTACTACCTGTGTATATAGTTTTTACCTTTTATGTAGCATATAAACATTGGGAAAGGGAGGGCGGGTGGGACTGAGGAATTGGCATGGGGATATTGTAAAATTTGCTTCAGTTTATAGCAAGGAGGCAACTATTTGCCTTGCATAAAGAGAAGCAATTTTGGGGAAGGGTTTGAATTGTTTTCTTTAAAGATGTAATGTCCCTTTCAGTGAGAACTGGTATTTCATTTTTAAAATCATAGAAATTTGAACACTGGCTACAAATAGTTGCTATTTATTTTTACATGAAACATATTCTCATTCGGGAGTTCTGCTTCTGTTATGTAGCAACAAATGGCTTAAAAAAAAAAAAACCCAACTATCTGCTTTGTCTTCCCTAAAAATTGGAATTTACCAGTTAATTTTCAGTTATTGATAATCACTCTAGGTTAACTCTGGGCAAAAACCTGGGGTGTATGATGGGGAGTTCCAAATGCTCAGATTTGGGTAACTTTTACATTTGTTAAGAAAATGTGTTTTCTTTTCACTTGGGTTGTGTACACACAGTCAAAATAATTCTATGTTCCTGGATATTTTTAAAGATCTAAGTAACCATACACACACAAAATAATGAAATAATTTTGAATTTAAAGCTTCATTTTATTTGTGAATTTGCCCACAGGAAAGTGGTGTTTTTAAAGGAAGGTGCACATAGAGAAATGCACGCTGGTAGGATAAGTGAAATGGATACTACATCTTTAAACAGTATTTCTTCATTGCCTGTGTATGTGTATGAGGCAAAAGCATTTGAAGTGTACCTGTGTACATAACTCTGTAAAGACACTGAAAAATTATACTAACTTATTTATGTTAAAAAAGATTTTTTTTTTTTTTAAATTTAGACAATATACAAGCCAAAGTGGCATGTTTTGTGCATTTGTAAATGCTGTATTGGGTAGAATAGGTTTTCTTCCTCTTTTGTTAAATAATATGGCTATGCTTAAAAGGTTGCATACTGAGCCAAGTATAATGTTTTGTAATGTGTGAAAAAAATGCCAATTATTGTTACACATCAAGCAATCAATAAAGAAAACTTCCATAGCTATTCATTGAGTGGAACTGTGATGTACTTCAAGCTCAAGGTGTTCAGCATGACAGTGTCATATTTACACAAATAAAAAAAAAATGACAAATATCTAGATAATTCAGGCCTACTCAGATGATATTTTGTGTGGGTCTGAATGTGGTTAATTGTTACTATTTTCCACTTAGTTCTGCATGGGTGGATGAAACTTTAGGAGTGGGAAGTGGAAAAGCCACATTTTCATAGAAAAATCCCCATTGTTTAAAATACTCATCTCTTAGGATAAGGATTGTGTCAGAACCAAAAATCCTTACACAAGTGTAGACTGATCACATTACAGGATAGAAAATGAAAGTAACCTCATGACTTCTCTAAATTCTGTTATTTACACAAAGTGTAAAGAATAAAAGCATTTCTTTAGTCCACCAAATATACCAATCTTATCCAAAATATTAAATCATATGGGTCCTTAAGAAATTGGTGTGCATTCCATGTGAAGTTAACTACTTATCAAGTGACACTGGTCCTCACAAATTCCTCAGCTTCTAAATATCCTTTCCATAATCTACACATCCCCAAACAAGTTAATCCAAACACCAAATCTGAGGGATATGAGGCCCTGGATGCACACAAATAAATGGTTTTTATTAAAAAGTTTGAAGGCGAAGCAATTTACAATCAGATTTACTAAAATCCTATTTTACATTTTCAAAAAAAAAAGTGGTTAAGGTGTAAATTATAGACATCTACAAATGGGCAAATCGTAAAAATCTGACTTTAGGTTAAATTGTTTTACTCAAATACTGTTATTTACATCATTGCACCCCAATAGGGGCCCTAAATAAAAGTTTTAGAATTTTGACTCAGTTTTTTTTTTCTAAAGCAGAATTGATAACTGCTACTGAGAAGAGAAAAAAGAGGTCCTTTAGTGGTGGCTGGCCTACCTCCTTCAAGTAGGTATTATTTTAATTAAAGGCCAAAGGTGTTTTTGTGACTGAAACACGCATACAGGGTGTTTTCCAGGAAGAGACTGGGAGAGAAAGAAAAAATCAAAATGGGAAGAAAAGAGTGGAAGGTCAGGAAATAGTGAAATAAAATTAAGGTTCCTCTGAATAAAAGGGGCACTTCAGAAAACGTCTTTAACAGAGGGGAAAAACATCCTTTTAAACTACGGCATGTTCCTCGTTTTCCTTTCATAAAGAGGTCTCTTTAATGTGAGTTTTTAGAGATTGTGTTTTAGGAAAGCAGGGCCGGGAAGACAGTGGTGCCCGCTGTGCCAGGCACGTTCGCAGGGACTCAGCCCCAAGTCGCCCTGTCCTCCGCCCTGTGCACGTCTGTGTCAAGCCTTCCACAAACCATCCTGCGGTTCAGCCTGTCCTGTCCCCACCCTAACCCGGACTGCGGGGCCCACCGCTAGCATCTCTTTTGAGGGGACATAGTCGCCGACGCCAGCCACACGCTGCCCAGCAGCCGGGCCAGTGCACCAGCGTCGTCTCCGCCAAACTTTCCTGCGGCCCCGCACCCGCCCGTTTTCCGCGGTGGTTGCGGGTCGCGTGGGCTGGCGCGTCGGGACGAAAAGGCCATCACGTCCCGCTGTCCCCTGCAGCTTACAGTTCCCGCACTGCCCGGGTTGCCGCGCGCACCTCCAGCGCTCCCGGCGCCCACAGGCCGCGGAAAGCAGCCGCGCCTTTGCTCGCGCGCAACGGGGCTGGGCGGTTTCTCCGAAACTTTCCTATTTATCCATCGCTCCTCCGGACTAAGAGCAGCGAAAGCCTGCCTTCCTCGCTACACCAGTACCTCGCCACCTCCTGAGCGGTAGCGGGATTTGAGCGAGGTTGGAGATCCTCTCCGGGTGCGCGGACCCTCCAGGGCTGCAGCCCGCTCCCACCCCTAGCCTGGGCTCCAATGATCCGCAGCCCCGCGCATTTCGAAAGCCTTTCCGGCTCGCCGGCTGCCAGGACGGCCACCGCGGCGCGCAGCGGAGTGCGAGGGCCACAGCCGCGCTCGGGGGTCCCCCTGCCCTCATCCTGGTTTTGCCAAGCCTCCCAAGTCGCTTCCCTGGCTGCACAGCGCGGGGGCGACCCAGGCAGGGGAGAACTGGGGGAAATGTGGGTTCGGGGGCGCGATCGGGGGACAGGAGGAGCGTAGGCTTAAACCGGTGAGAGGGAGCTGGGCAGGCGGCCTTTGGGGCCCGGTGCGCCCACCGCCCTGAGCGACCTTTCCCGGGCGCCAGGGAACCCTGCCTTCGCCATTGCATCTTCATCTTCGACAGCGACACACACTCGCCCTTTGGATTTTAAAAGGGTGCCTCCCAAGCTCGCCTAGCATCGTCGATCTGCTTCTCAGAGTCTGAATTTCTCTGTAACTTGCGGTCTCTTTTCCACCTGAGCTACACTACCTGCGCTTCGCTACCACCTCCTTTCCGGCCACAAAAAATATATATATAAGGGGAAAACTCCCGCTGAACGTAGCTGCGGAGAGAAGGGGACCCACGATGGTGCTGGGAAACCTTGGGGGACGCCTCCCAGAGCCAGCTCGCTTGGGGTCAGCCGCCAGCCGACCCCGCAGAACCGAAAGTGCAGTGCTTTCCACGTCAACCTAAGCCCCCGTGCGGCCATCGCGTGTAACCGACTTGTCACGCGTGAGGGGGACGAACGGAATTGGCAGGAATCGGGAAGCTGTGAAATATATTTTCAAAAAAAGCAGTTCAGGCTTTGGGCGCGAAAATCGACGCGCCTCGGAAGGAACGTTAAGCCAGGGAAGGGAGAAGGCGCGCAGTCAGGGCGCGGGCCGGGGGATTGCATCATTGTAGCTCCCCCTGCAGAAAATGGGCTCCGAACCGCGGCGACCATCATGGCGCTCGGGTCGGGCCGCACTTCCCGCGCGTCGTCGCCCTCGTCCCCGGCGCTGCGGCTGTAGCAGCGAGCCTCGAGCGCGCAGTTTGCAAACATTTCCCCCTCCCCGGAGCGCGAGCCCCACCCCCGCCTTCCTTTTGTGTGCGTGTGTCCGTGCGTGTGTGCGTGCGTACGTGTATTTGTCTGTGTGCGTGTGTGCAGGAGAGAAGTTGAAGATTATTTTTTTTTCTTTCTTTTTTTTTTTTTTCCTCCCCTCCAGAGCTGGTGGTTGTAAACTTGATTGGCATTGGCTGCGCCCACTGACCCCTGCGCCGCGTCCACTAAAGATTTAAGGTGGATCGGAGGGACTGTGGAGTCTCTCGTGCTTTAGCTACTTTTGGAGGAAAAAAAAAAAAAAAAAACCCGAACGGGGCGCCCGCCGCGTTTTTTTATGAATCCCCTGCGGTCCGGCTGGGCGCTCACCGCGCGCCCCGCCCCCGCCGCGCCGCGCCGCCCCGCCCACCCCATGCTCCTTCCCATTGGCCGGAGCGTGCAGTTTGAATTTTTTTCCCCATGCTTGTTTTCTTGTTAAAAAAAAAAAAAGATATATAGATAGATAGATAGATAGAGATAGATAGATATACTGTACCCTAGCCTAGATCATGTGATGTAACCTACATGGGCGGCCAGAGGTGGGGTGCTGTTTTTTTGGTGTAGGCGGGAGGGCGAGGGGTGGGCGGAGCTTCTGTTCCAAAATTTGCCCCCCAGCGCGGTGGACAGGGTGCGGGCGGGAGGGGGAAGCGGGGCTCGGGAGCAGGCGGGAGCGGCCCGCTGGGGACCGGGATGTAGTATAAACGTTAATGGATGTCCAGGGCGCGCGCTGCCCGGCTGCCGGCACTAGGAAGGCGAGGATGCACCTTCTCCCCTGTCTTGGAAAGGTAGACTTGGGGAGGACGGGAGGGTGCTGGAAGCCTGGAGAGCACCTTCCTGCAACCGAAGGGGGAAACTAGAGGAGATGGAAGTAGGGCAGAATGTGTTATCTGAAGGGCCGCTCAGCCAAAATCCAGGCAGTCGGTGTCATTAAGAAAAACTGAATCAAAGGGGGAATTTTTTTTAATCTTTGTTTTATAATTTCTTAAAAATAAGGAATATATTAAAAAGAGGAAATAAGTGCATTTGATTTGTGGGTCTTGGAAGTTCTTTTCATAAAGTCTGAAGGCTTTAGGATAATGTTATTTGTAACACAGGTCTATTAGAAATGATATACTTGATTAGTTAGAGCCCAGTTATGTTTTACTTTACTGTGAACATCTTAAAAGTTTATAAAAATTCAAGTTTGTTCGCCAAAGCACTCACATTAGTGAAGATATTGTATGTGCATGCCTTTCTTCCTCTCCTTTCTTTTCTTCTTTTTCTTCCTTTCTTGCTCTTTCTCTGTTCTTTTTGTTTCTTGTTAGTCTCGTTACACTGTAGAAGGTGATTTCAACTAGATGTCCAGCACTTCCAACAGTCCCTAACCCACTGGTGACCTGTTTCAGTTCTTGTTCTCTCTCTCTCTCTCTCTCTCTCTCTCTCTCTCTCTCTCTCTCTCCATTTTTCTGTCTGTCCCTTTCTCTTTCTCTTGCCTGTGTTTCTCCGTCTCTCTATCTCTGCCTCTGTCTCTTCTCTCTCTTATCTCTGTCTCTGTCTCTACTCTTTCTTTTTTTCTCTCTGTCTCTCTTTATGTGTCTTTCTGTCTTGGTCTCTCTGTCTCTGCCTCTCTATTTGTCTCTTTTTTTCTGTCCCTTTCTATCTCTATGTCTCTCCATCTCTCTGTCTCTCTTTATCTCTGCCTGTCTGTCTCTGTGTCTCCATGTCTCTGTCTCTCCCTTTATCTCGGTGTCTTTCTGTCTCTGTCTCTGTCTCTCTCTCTCTCTCTTTGTCTCTCTCTCTCTCTGAGATAGGGTCTTACTATGTAATCCCTGGAACT